ATCTGCCAGTTCTCCACTTAGCCATGGACTTGGCTCAATTCCTGACTCGAGGCAAGCGAGTGTTCCAGTTCTGGCTTACCTGGAAATCTGTCACTCAGCTCCACTTGTGAGTCCTCATGTGGTCACTGGTGAGGAGACTGTAGGAGAGTAATACCGACCAGCACCAGCCTGACCTGGCCAACAGAAGGACACAGTGGGTCCCTGGTAATAATTATTTAGTACAGGAACAAAATCAAGCCTTTTTCCCATTAAATTCCCACCTAAAGGATGCAGGTTTGCAGGTTTCGATTCCCTGGCTGAGCGAGCTTTCTCCTGTTCAAAGTCATTGTTTTTAATTCCGGGTTGTGTTGATGGAATGTGTGAACCCTCATGCTTCCCCTGTAAAAGCCTCTCTTTTGTTGTCTCAGTGCTTCTCTCCCACTTTGGACAGTGCTATAATCATTTTAAATATGTCCTTTTTGTTCCTGCATTAGCTTTAGAGGTCAGAGTGGACATTGTTGAGTTGTTTGATGGTCTGAGCGTAGGACATGGGAACTTCAGGTCTGCATCTAAGATCTAGTACTATTCCAGGTAGAATTTTAGGCAAGCGGCTTTACTTCTATCTCAGACTTACTGCTGCAGAGAAGGGAAAAAACATTCATGTACCTCAGAGAGGAAAGCAGAAAGAATCATTACCTAATGTTGGATAAGTGGGAATGTTTGAAGTGAAAAGAAGTTTTCAAGAAGGTGGGAAGAGGAAAGAATCTGGCTGGATACCTGAGTGCTGTTGTCCAGTTTGACACGTGCAATTTACTGGATAGGGAGGTTGAAGCTTTTAACCACCGTGACGCAAGGACTGCTGCTCTAGTTAAGGTACCATATGCCCTAAAGCCAATACTCTTTAAGCTACTAGACAATGACTTGTGGGAAAAAATACTGTTTTCAAAGTAGAGACATTTCTATCAGGCAATTACCTCTGAAATGCCTGAGAGATCAATAGCATCAATGCCCTCAGACGTAGGGGGACTGTCCTCAGCTACAGCTGGGTCTGTAACACAGGCTGCATGTTGTTTTAACAGATCTCAATGTCTGCCCACAGCTCAGGCTGGTAAATCTCCAGAGAAAACAAAACTACTTCTATATTTTGGTAGAAAACAAGGAGAAAACAGCCTTTTTTTTTGCAACAGAAACAGTCCCTGTATCCTTAAAACCACTACTCCTGTACAGATGTGTGCTGATTATTTCTAAGTACATGCACATTACCCCAAGTCAGAGGAGTTTTGGTATTTTTAGCCTAAGTGTGAATTGAAGGCAGGGCTCAGCACTTGATGCAGTTTCCTTGAAAGCCTTGGCATTACAGCAGCGGAGGGTCTGAACTTGTCCCTCGTGCTGTTATCTGGGACATCCGATCCTAAACCAGGGTGGGATTAGAAACTTCTGAAAGACCAGTTTTTAAAGCCTGAAGTTTAAAACTTCTTCTTAGGCAAAGCCTTAATTGCGATAGTGAGTTTTCTGATTTACCTTGTTCACACAAAGGATTAAAATAGCACAGATGTGTTCCATGGCAAATGACATTCTTTACAACAGATGCCATGGAATAACTGAAATTAACTCAGACTCATAGAGTTAATCCAATCAAGGGAACATAGATGAAAACTGGAAAAATAGGCAAAGTGAGAACGGAAGGTTTTATGGTAATAGTGGGGTGTGTTAAGTAAGTATCTACACAAGATTAATAATGCAGTAGTTATACATCTGATAGTCTCTTCCTTAAGATCCCATTTTAAGGGTAGGTATGAGAATTAATCAGGACTAGAAAAGAAACCATAAGCGAATTGTAATTAAAGCCACAGCCACAACTGCTACTTGTTAGGGGTACCTGAAGTGAAAGAGTTTTGGGGGGTGCTGGCTGAGCACCCCCTGTGCCACTTGCATGGCTCTTTCCTGTCGTATCACAGGAGCAAGTGGTGCCCCATTTCAGCTTCTGCTTGGAAACCACCACTGTAGTGGCCTGGAAGAACTGGACACAGTTCTGGGTTTCCTGGAACTGAAACCACTTTTAGTTTCTTTGTGTGTGTTAAGTTCATGTAGAAGCACGTTCAGCACTCAAAGGCTGCTCTTGCACATGCACAAGAGTGGAATCGAAATACTAAAACTCTCAAGGGATAAGTGATTCCTGAGGAAAGGAGATCAGGACAGTGGGGACAGGAGGGGGGATTTCCATACCTGCAGCCACCAGAGCAGTGATCCCAGGGTGAAGCCCACCTTCTGCGTGGAGAACCAGAAGGCGAGCACAAGGACTGTCTGCTCATACACACTGTAGAGCTTTCTTCAAGTACCTGTGTGAAGGAGACAACTGATTGTTACTGGTTTTAAATGGGATTTTGATCACGACAGATTTGCCTCTCAAACTTGTACTGGCTTCCTGCAGAGTGACCAGGGCAAACTTCAGCTGGAGAATTAATGGCAGGCTCCATCCTGTGCTTGAGAAGCAGTTACTGGGTAAGCAGGTACTCCAGATGCTTTTCTTTTTCATTCTCCCATGAATGCCAAAGGAGAAAAGCCTCTGAAAAGCATCACTTGAACCATTCACAGGCACTGGCAGAAGAAGTCTCCCTGCCCCATCCTGTCCTGGGCAAAGCCTCTGTCAAGGCCACGCAGGTATTTACACAGATTGGCAGTTACTGCACAAGGGAAGTCAGAAAACAATTGAGTACTGACAGCCTGATGCTTCTGTCCTGCAATGCCTTTAACACACCCCATGGGATGGCCAACAGCCCAACCCTTACCAAGAAAAGGCCTTTAAAAAACAAAAAAGACAAAAGCAAAGCTGAGATCTGGGGCTACTGAATTCCCAAGAACTTCTTTTTAATCATGGTTTCATTTTTGTTTTAATAGACACCCGGTTCTGACCCTTGCTAAAGGGCCAGCAGCTGCTTACTCCTGTCAACACATTAATGTTTCTTCTTGTGACTGACATTGCTTTATCATTGCCTATAATCTCTTTTCAGCATGCAAGTGTTTGTGTGTCTGTAGCCTCCCTGGAACAGTTGGAGTTGAAGTAGTTGGGGTTTTAAGGGAACATTCTGACACTGTACAAAGTTGTAGGGGTTTTTTCCTCTTTTTGCTGTGGATACATGAGTCTCATGTAGAGAACTTTCTAAAATAAAGTGTGAATATTTTTATTACTCCTTTGTACAGTATTCTAAGAGAAACTAATAAAGTATTCCTCTAAAAACCTGGGTTTGGGTCCTTGCATTGTTACACAGACAGGTTTTGCTTTTAAAGCAGCCGAGCAAATAAACACTTCATAGAATAGTTTGGGTTGGAAAGGACCTTAAGATCATCCAGTTCCAACCCCCCTGCCATGGGCAGGGACACCTCACACTAAACCAGGTCACTCAAGCCTCTGTCCAACCTGGCCTTGAACACTGCCAGGGATGGAGCATTCACAACCTCCCTGGGCAACCCATTCCAGTGCCTCACCACCCTAACAGGAAAGAATTTCCTTCTTATATCCAATCTAAACTTCCCCTGTTTCAGTTTTAACCCGTTACCCCTTGTCCTGTCACTACAGTCTCTAATGAAGAGTCCCTCCCCAGCATCCCTATAGGTCCCCTTCAGATAATGGAAGGCTGCTCTGAGGTCTCCACGCAGCCTTCTCTTCTCCAGGCTGAACAGCCCCAACTTTCTCAGCCTATCTCATGTGATCTCATGCAATCATGAGATGCTCGAATTTGAGATCCTCAGGACAGTGAGAAAAGCGTGCATGCAGCAAGCTCACTGCCCTGGACTTCAAAAGAGCAGACTTTGGCCTCTTCAGGAACCTGCTTCGGAAGGTTCCATGGGATACAGCCCTAGGGGGCAGGGGGGGCCAAGACTCTTGGTTGATATTCAAGGATCACCTGCTGCAAGCTCAGGAGTGTTGCATCCCAACCAGAAGGAAGTGCAGCAGGAGGGCCAGGAGACCTCCTTGGATGGATAAGGAGTGCCTGAGGAAAACTGAATTGAAAAAAGAGGCTTATAATAAGTGGAAGCAAGGACAGGTGGCATAGGAAGAGTACAGGGATGTTGTCCGAGAAGCTAGGGACCAGGTTAGGAAAGCTAAGGCTCAGTTAGAATTAAACATAGGTAGAGGTATTATAGATAACAGGAAGGGATTAGGGACTGGAGTGACAGGACAAGGGGTAACGGGTTAAAACTTAAACAGGGGAAGTTTAGATTGGATATAAGGAGGAAATTCTTTCCTGTGAGGGTGGTGAGGCACTGGAATGGGTTGCCCAGGGAGGTTGTGAATGCTCCATCCCTGGCAGTGTTCAAGGCCAGGTTGGACAGAGCCTTGGGTGCCATGGTTTAGTGTGAGGTGTCCCTGCCCACGGCAGGGGGGTTGGAACTGGATGATCTTAAGGTCCTTTCCAACCCTAACGATTCTACGATTCTATCTTCATACGGGAGGTGCTCCAGTCCCCTGATCATCCTCGTGGCCTCCTCTGGACTTGTTCCAACAGTTCCATGTCCTTTTTATGTTGAGGAAACCAGAACTGTACACAATACTCCAAGTGAGGTCTCAAGAGAGCAGAGGGGCAATTCCATGGCAATTCCAACACATGATGGATTGAGCAACAATAGACACTTCAGCAGGCAACCACACCTGTATGCCACACAAACCCCTCTGCTACCAGCAAGCCCTAATGCATGGCAGCATGTGTGCACATCTAAGTTATAATATCATCTATAAGTCAACATAAAAGTGCCTACAGCAACATCATGTTGTCTCCTTATCAGCACCACACCTGACGAGCTACCCCTCTCCCAGGCTAAACTGAAATCCTCCTAATCTCAGGACATTCTGCTCCTCATTCCAAGAGGCAGAGTATGAATGAAAACCGAAATGATGCTGGAAATCCAGCCCCAGAGGAGTGCCTTATCTGTAGAAGAAGTTACTCACAGCCACTGTAACCAATCAAACAGCTGGAGCCAGGTCAGTGACTAGCTTTTACCGGAAGAATTGCACAAGCAAGGAGTATTTCTGTCTCATTCAGCAGAAGTTTCCGAACCACTGTCGAAAAAGGCAGGGAGAGAGCAGGTCCCAGCCTGCTGCCTGAGAGGCTGCTCCGTTTTGGAAGCTCCGTGCACCGCTCCGCAGGTTGCCCTCCCGTGAAGGAGAAGCCACTCACCCCACAAACAGGCAAGTATATTTTGAAGCGCTTTCGGTCCTGATGAGGGGTAGAGCAAACTGTGAAGTGTTTTGGTTTCTTTTTTATCCCTGGTTGATGTCTCCCAAGGGAATGAGTCCTGTCAGAGCTACCTAAATGATCCCACATTCAGCAGGAGATGATTTTCTATCCCTAGCTCCATCACATCCAATACAAAGTTCTTCATCAACCCTTCTATACACTAACTGAAGCAAAACCTCAAACTCTGGATTAAAATCACTGTTAGGAAACCAACAGTGATTCTTCTTCTGCCTTTGAAACAGCCAGTTCTCTTGGGGTGGGGGGACGGGACACAGGCAGAGCAGCAGGGCCCATCCAAGGAGCTGTGCTGGGGGGATTTCTTTATATTCTGGGGGAGATTTGCCATTGAACAAGGTCTCTTCCTTCCCTACTTACAACACTTCTGGGTTTCATTTATACTTCTCCTACTTACAACACACTGTTCAACTCTCAGCACTTTCAGTTCTCCCAGTAAGACACAAATACAAGCTTTTTGTGCTGCTCTTATTTTGAAGCACTGCTCTTTCCTGCCAAGCAACAAAATGCCCAGGGGAAACAGCAAAAACTGGCAATAAACTACTCAACCTTTTTCCTTTTAAACTTGCATCAGGGCACCAAATTAAACTGATTCAAGCATTTAGGACCATGACAGGTCCTAGGTTAAGGTGCAGTGTCCAGTAATGAAAATGCTAATGGTATGTACTGGCACATGCAACGAAATAGGTTAATTGAAAGAGCAGTAAGAGACTCCAGTGCTGAAGATCAGTGCTTCCAAATGACCTTTCCTCATCGGCAAAGGATATGGTGAGTTGAAATGAGATTCATACTCCTACCTCTCCAAAAGCTTTCCTATAAACCATCCAGTTTAAGCTGTGTCTTGGACTAACACAGGGTTTTTGGGGTGCTTATCCATTTGGAAAAGGTCTTCCTAATTAAACCAACATGTTTTGCTACATCCTTCTCCTTATATTTCAAGTAATTTGGCTTAATGTGTCTTGCCTCTTCCTAAGGCACAAGTCTACGTTGCTGTGGATCAAAAATTCGTCCAGCTGCAACAGGATGTTTAAAAAAGTCACCCAATCCATAGTGAAACAAATGGATCCAGATGGAGACCTGGTCCCAGTTCGCAGCATCTTGGACCATGAACATTTCAGACCCCTGTGGCTAGTGAGAAGAAAAAAACAAACCATATTCCAGCGATCTCCCCGCTACAAACAGACATGGTACAGACTGGAGGACGTACTGCTGCCTGGACAGGATGGTAAAAGCTCAGGTAAAGACCACATTTATCAATCTTAAGCTCACAGTTTCCACAGACAAAACATTTGGGGCTGAACTCCACCATGTCCCATCTTTCTTGTGCACAATTAGTTGTAAGACTGAGTCTGTGTAATCATGCTTACGCAAATGCATGGAATGATTTCAGAGTCTCTCATTCCCAATGGAGGTGAACAAGATTCAAGGCAATTTCTAATCAAAAAGAGTGGCACTGACAGAATTGATGGGAGTCTCATCGTTCCTGCTGACCCCGCAAGAGCGGAGCTGAAAGGAGCTGCCTCCTTGGCCAGCGAGTGGTCCATCAAGCTGCAGAAGAAACACATACCACCAGCAAAACTTGAGGCACTGAAAACAGAAAGGTAAGGCAGGCACAAAGGGTCATCCTCCTCTGCCCCACGCCAGCTCACACAATGGTTTTTCCAACAGCCAAACCCCAAAACCAGGGAGCATGCATCCTCCCTAAGCAGGCAGATTTCCAGAGGCCAGGAAAGAGAGGTGGTGAAGACTCCAAACCAAGCTTTGTAATGCTTACAGATCTCTCTGCCATTCAGAAAGCAGGAACACCTCGAGATGGAGTCAAGGCCTCTCCTCTCATGGTTTGTGCCTGGAAAGGAGCAGTTAGATCATGACACATCATCCATCTGACCTGACAGGCCACCACCCCACTGCCCCTCTGAGAAGAGGAATGCATTGAGGACAGCAAGAATTCCAAGCCTATTTTCTGCCACCTTTTTCCCCCCAGAAGCCACAAACAGAGTGATATTTTCATGTGACACAAGCATACAGTCCCACAGGACTTCTGTCCCAACTAAACCACGACCTTTCTTCTCTTTTAGGAAAATTAATACAAATCACACCTTCCTTCAACAACTACAGAAAACAGGGCAGAATTTGTACGTGGTTCATGAGACCATAGAAACCCTGGAGGAGGCCAGCTATCAGGAAATCTCTGAGGCAGACGGCAACTTCATGGCCCAGTTTTACGTCAAGTTCTGTGCCAATGTTGGGTTTCAGGCTCAGGATTCGGCCCTTCCCCACCCTCTGCACATCCTCAAGCCTGGTAACACATTTGTCTTTCGCTAAGCAGGGCACCAGAGGGAACAAACAAAGCATAACCATACCCAAAGGCTGCACCCTGGCCTTCAGGGCATTCAAGCTGGCCATTTCAGATGCAACATGGGGTAAGTAACTTCCAAAAACTGCCAACTCCTCCATTTGGGAAACACCACAGAAGAGGAAAAATGTTTTCTGAAGCATTATTTAGCCTCACAGGTGCCCTCAGCTGATTTCAGGCATGAAGACAGTGTGAGTGACAGAAACCCCCTGGGGAAAAAGCTGTACATAGTATACAAGTTAAAAGAGCTACCTGGGAAAGAGATGCAGCTTCAAGGGGGTGCTGAGGAATGAGAGAGGGAAGCCCCAGCTCCACATTCCAGGAACTGCAGAGCTCCTGCTGAGACATGACACAGAGCAGTGCTGGTTTTGGTTTCTTTTCCTCCTCGGAAAGTCAGGGAGCAAACAGGGTGGCTGCTCCTTCACTGGGATGGGCAAAGAAAGAAAGGACTGAGCTCCATAAAGCCTGCAAGACTAGAGAGAGCACAGCTGGCTTTCTGCCCCTGTGCTCCCCACACCTGCGTGGATCTGGTGGAGTATAAGCTGTCATATTAATTTCCTTGTGTTTTAACACACTCGCTGCCTGATGAAAAGCACAGGACAGTAAGGAACGAGATTCAGGAATAATGAGTCCTAAATGAACAGGTGCACTAGAGAAGAGCACAACCTGACCTACAACCAGCATGTGGTATCTCAGACCTGGGACACCAACATCTTCAGGCTTAAAATCAACCACCCTGGTAAAATAGACACCCCAGCTTGAAGCCTTGCAGCAATGTCCTTTTTTTCCTGTTGCAGATCTTTGCTACATGCCAAGAAAACAAACACTGAGGCTTGCATCTGATGGTAAGAAATGCATTTTACTCCTTTCCCTCGCACTATTTCTTCCCCCTCTGGGCAAGATTGAGTCTCTCCAAACACAAGCCACCAGAATCAGTGTCTTTGCTGTAGTTTCGAGACACGACAACTCAAAGTTGTACACTGCTTTAAAAGAAAGTATTCACACTTGCCTGTTTTGGAAGTGATTTTTGGGCTCGTTCTGCTTTTCAGATGTCCTGGAAGGAATATTAGGAGCACTGGAGGCAGAAGTGAAAAGGAACTGTCACATTCTCTCCATGTTGTCTTCTCAGCTGTCCATCATCTTACTAAAAGCCATCAAAGCTGTGATGGGAGACGGGAACCTCTTCCAAGAACTGAGCCACAAGGTAAGCAAAGCTCCTCTTACTACCAGGATTTATAGACAGAGACATCCACCTCTTCCCACCTCTCCTGTACCACAACTACCAACCCCAAAAGCCTTCACTCAGTGCATGTCTGGTCTCCATCACCATACAGACAAAGAAGGTGCTCAGGACAGAGTCAACTGCAGAAATGTGTCCTCTGTAGAGCCTAGCAGGTTAACTTGAAGGTATCAAACCATTTAAATGTCCTATCCTGTCTTTAACTGCAGCTATCAATTACAGCCTCACAAATAGCTTAGGGAGGGGAAGATACATACTACATGACTGTTCACAAACTCCTGGACTCACAAGCCTCTTAAACCCTGCTGTTTCCTCCTATCTCCCCTAGATGGAAGCAGTTCTTGATGAAGGTGACAGGGGTGAGCTGAAAACAGAAAGCGCAGCCTTAAAAGACCTGCTGAGCCACTTGCAGCATTCCTCAGCAGACATTCTCCTCAGCATGGCAGCAGCCATCACCTACACCCTTGATGCTTTAGAAGGTAAGGCTTGCTGGCCACTTTAACAGAGAAATCAGCAGCACCAGAATACACCAAAAGCATTCCTCACCCTTCACTTCTCCCCAGCTGGCTCCAGTTGTGGTGGGGTTTTGGCACAACCTGTTTTAATTCTGCAGAGCTCAGTGAGGATCAGCACCTGCTGCTGCTCGAGTCCCTGGAAAACAAGATCGTGTCCCAACAGCTTAAGCTGGTGAGAGACCATACACCTCATTGGGCCCAAATGAAGGGATGGGGGGGTGTTATTTCAAGTAAAGCAACTTTGACATGATGACACAGGCAGCAGTATCCCAATTTAGGGTAACACTGGGAAAAGGGAAGGAATAATTGCTTCAAACTTGGCAGAGATCAGCATACTTTAAGGAAAATCACCCCAAGACATGAAGGCCAAAGATTTCTACCAGCTGTTTTGCTGATAATCAGCATTCAATCGGGCCCAGCTACCACTGCTCAGCTGGAAATGGTGGTCAGAGATCCCTGGCTTCTTTGGCTCCTGATTTAAATAAGAAAACAGCAAAAAAACCACTATTTTGCCCAAGGAGGTTGTGAATGCTCCATCCCCGGCGGTGTTCAAGGCCAGGCTGGACAGAGCCTGGAGTGACCTGGTTTAGTGTGAGGTGTCCCTGCCCATGGCAGGGGGGTTGGAACTGGATGATCTTAAGGTCCTTTCCAACCCGAACTATTCTATGATTCTACAATTTTAATTCCTTGGCCATAACCAATCCCCAAGAAGGCAGGAACTGAATACACAAGCACAATAATCTTTTGGGTTGAAAAGTCCCATATGAGCAGCACTTCGCAAACGACTTCCACAGCTGGGATATTAAAATACTGATTTTGCCTTTTCTTTTGGTCCTTGCTATGAAGGTTGAGAGCATCTTGAAACAGAGAGAATATAGGAAGGGGTTCAGCGCAGACCCCAGCTTGCTCTCCTTCTCCCGAGAGAGGGACCGCCAAGTAACCATTGCAATGATGGAGATGAGCGGGGTGAAGCTCCGTGAGGACGGATCTGCTGCTTGCACAGAAGATGCCTCCTCAGCCACAGAAGCCCTCTATGTGTCTCTGTACATCCTCAATCTTCTGAGTAACCCCTGTTAGGTTACACAGCCCTCCCATGCACGATGATTTAAAGATAATCACTTCACAGTGTATCTGAAAGTCTCTTAGCACAAGCCAGCTTCTTTCCCCAAGTTTCATCCCTGCAGAGGTGAGGCTCTCGCACTGCTTTGAAATGAGTGGCAAAGGAAAAAAGCTGTGGCTGCCCCATCCCTGGCAGTGCTCAAGGCCAGGTTGGACACAGGGGCTTGGAACAAGCTGCTCCAGTGGAAGGGGTCCCTGCCTGTGGCAGGGGTTGGAGCTGGGTGAGCTTTAAGGTCCCTTCCAATCCAAACCACTCAATGACTCTAAAAGCAAACCTAAGGCAAGAAAACTCCTTATGGACGCCAGATCCCAACCCTGCTTTTCCTTTCCTCCCACATGAATGCCGAATGCCAACTGCAACCCCCACTGGCCCAAATGCCCACCCCTTGGCTGAGCTTTACACGACCTTGGCTTTCCTCAGCAGCCCAAAGCACCTCCACCGCTGCTCATGCAGCCCCCCAGCAACCCCAGAGCTCAATGAGCTGCCGAGGGGCAGCTCAGAGGAGGTGAAGGACGCAGGCCCCACCTGCAGCAGCACGCTTCAGAGCCGCTCTCATGGCCGCTTTACAAATAAAGCTCTTTCCTGACCAACACAGCGCTTTCAAAGGGCGCTTTTTACCCTGAGGTAACGCCGCGCTGCTCCCCCCCAGCTCCGAGGTCCCTCAGCGAAGGGCCCCGCCGCTTACCTGGGCGGCCACTGACGGCTCCGGGGGCACCAACAGCACGGGAAGGGGTGGAGGGGGTACCCACGGGGCGACGGGAAGCCGAGCCCCGCTTCGCCGAGCCCCCGCGGAGGGAAGCGCCCGCGGCCATCCCCGCTCCCTCGCACCTCACCTCAGCGAGCCAGGCGGGAACAGCCGAGAGCGTGACGGAAAGTCCCGAGCGGGCGCGAACGGAAGGAGCCGAACGCTCGGCGCTCGGCTGAGCGGGCCTAGCTCTGAGCGCGGGGCGGGGCCTGGCGGCTCCCGGCGTGCCCCGCGCTTGGTGCAGTGTCATGAAGCAGGAGGCCCCGTCCCGCCGCCGAGACAAGGCCAAGGCCCCCCCCGAGGGGCCCCCGCCCGCGCCCCCCGACGTGGAGATGCAGGAGGAGGCGGCGGCGGCCGCAGACACGGGCGGGGAGCGGCAGCCGCAGCGGGAGCTCGATGCCGTCACGTTGGAGGGTGAGCGGGGGGGGAACGGGGTCCCGGTAACGTGGGGCTGGGGGTGGGAAAGGGAGGAGGGTCACGTGGGGAGCCTCGGTGGGGGACCTGTGTGGGGCTGGGAAGGGGGAGAACGGGGGAATGGGGGCGGTGTAGGGAGGCTGCGGGGGGCTTGAGGAGGAGGATGGGGGAGTCCTTGAGGAGGAGGAAGTAATGGGGGGTCTTTGAGGAGGAGGAAGGGTAATGGGGGGGCCTTGAGGAGGAGGGTGGGGGAGTGGGGGAGTCCTTGAGAAGGAGGAAGTAATGGGGGGGTCTTTGAGGAGGAGGAAGGGTAATGGGGGGGTCTTTGAGGAGGAGGAAGGGCAATGGGGGGGTCTTTGAGGAGGAGGAAGGGCAATGGGGGGGTCTTTGAGGAGGAGGAAGGGCAATGGGGGGTCTTTGAGGAGGAGGAAGGGCAATGGGGGAGCCTTTGAGGAGGAGGAAGGGTAATGGGGGGGTCTTTGAGGAAGAGAAAGGGTAATGGGGGGGTCCTTGAGGAGGAGGAAGGGTAATGGGGGGGTCTTTGAGGGGGAGGAAGGGTAATGGGGGGGCCTTGAGGGGGAGGAAGGGTAATGGGGGGGTCTTTGAGGAGGAGGAAGGGTAATGGGGGGGTCCTTGAGGAGGAGGAAGGGTAATGGGGGGGTCCTTGAGGAGGGGGAAGGGTAATGGGGGGGTCTTTGAGGAGGAGGAAGTAATGGGGGGGTCCTTGAGGAGGAGGAAGGGTAATGGGGGGGTCTTTGAGGAGGAGGAAGTAATGGGGGGGTCCTTGAGGAGGAGGAAGGGTAATGCGGGGGTCTTTGAGGAGGAGGAAGGGTAATGGGGGGTCCTTGATGAGGAGGGAGTAATGGGGTGCCTTGAGAAGGAAGGGCAATGGGGGGGTCCTTGAGGAGGAGGGAGTAGTGCGGGGTGAGGAAAAGGGGGTGCTGCAAAGCGTGTCAGTGGCAAAAGGGAGCTGTGAGGGCCTTATGAGGGGAAGGGAAGTGGGGAGCTGTGTTTGAGGGGGGCACCCTTAGGAGCAGGGGGTGGGGGGAGCTGCAGAGGGAGGATGGAGAAGGGGGGGGCACTGGGGAGCGCACAGTCCTGGTGCCCTGAGCAGACGGAGGGACCCTGCGCTGCCTTTGCTCCGGGTGAGGCTGTTCCCGGTGCTCCCTCCCGCAGACATCAAGGAGCACGTGAAGCAGCTGGAAAAGGCTGTGTCGGGCAAGGAGCCGCGCTACGTCCTGCGGGCTCTGCGGGCCCTGCCCTCCACCTCCCGCCGCCTCAACTCCAACGTGCTCCACAAAGCCATCCATGGGTTCTTCACCTCCAACAGCGCCGTGCGGGATTTCCTCCTCGGCTTCCTGGAGGAGGTACGGGCAGAGGGGACACCGTTCCCTGCACTGAGGAACCTCTGCCTGGGGGGGGTGGGAGGGAGGGCACCGGGAGCTCAGGGTGCCAGCAGCTGGGCTGGCTCTTGTCACCGGGCTGCACATGGGCCTTGCTGCAGGCAGAGGTGGCATGGGGGGGTCGGGGGGGGGGGAGCAGGCATCCAGCAATGTCTCTGCCCTCAGTCCATGGACACGGAAGCTGAGCTGCAGTTTCGCCCGCGCACGGGGAAGGCGGCCTCAGCCCCGCTTTTGCCAGAAGTGGAGACTTACCTACAGCTGCTCCTGGTCATCTACCTGATGAACAGCAAGCGGTACCCAGAGGTGAGGTCCCCTGAGCTCTTTGTGTGGTGCTGCTGCACCAGGCAGGGTCTGGAGAACCCCAGGGGACCCGCATCTCTGTGTTGCCCTTTGTTCCAGCTGCGTCTGGAGGCAGCCTTGGGCTCAGCCCCGCAGCCTCGCTGCTCTTCAGAGCATCACTTCCCCCACCTTGAGCTCTGTTCCCCTCCTGCAGGCTCAGAAGGTATCTGACGACCTGATGCAAAAGATCAGCTCCCAGAACCGCCGGGCCCTTGACCTGGTGGTGGCGAAATGTTACTACTACCACTCCCGTATCTATGAGTTCCTGAACAAACTCGACGTGGTCAGGAGGTAGGCTGGGACCTGCGTCCCAAAGAGCCAAGGCTGCTGCTTTCCTCCTCCCTGCCACGTTCCCTCCCTTCCCTGCAGCTTCCTGCACGCCCGGCTCCGGACGGCCACGCTGCGGCACGATGCCGACGGCCAGGCCACCATCCTGAACCTGCTGCTGAGGAACTATCTCCATTACAACCTCTACGACCAGGCCGAGAAGCTCGTCTCCAAGTCCGTGTTTCCTGAGCAGGCCAACAACAACGAGTGGGCTCGGTACCTCTATTACACGGGTGAGACAGAGGGTCCTGCGCTTGGGCTGTGCCCGAGATCCAGGGCTCTGCATCTGCACAGAACCCATTGGAACAGCTGGAGATGGGGTTTCCAGGCAGGATTTGATCCAGTGGATCCAGTTGGATTTGCTTTTCCAAGCCCCTTGTGGCCTGTCTCAACGCAGGGCGCATCAAGGCCATCCAGCTGGAGTACTCGGAGGCGCGGAGGACCATGACAAACGCCCTGCGGAAGGCCCCGCAGCACACGGCCGTCGGCTTCAAGCAGACAGTGAGCAGGGATGGGAAGCTCGAGGGGGGTCGGATCCTCCTGGATCCTCAGGGAAGCTGCGGCTCACGGGGTCTCTTTCTGCTCCAGGTGCACAAGCTGCTCATCGTGGTGGAACTGCTGCTGGGGGAGATCCCGGACAGGCTCCAGTTCAGACAACCCTCCCTCAAGCGCTCGCTCATGCCCTACTTCCTCCTGACTCAGGGTACAACAGGCAGCTCCTTGAGCCGTGTCCCAGGCTCTGGGGGAGCAGGAAGGCCTGGGAAGGGGAGCAGTGGGGACTTCCTCTCCCCTGAAGGGGATTCAGCTGCAGGCTCCTCTTGGGGAGGGGGAGGCGGCAGCTCTCGGGGGCAAGGAGCTGCCCTCCTCGCTTTCCCCATTCTCTTGCCCTGACAAGCACCTTCTCTCCTCCAGCTGTCAGGACTGGGAACCTGGCCAAGTTCAACCAAGTCCTTGATCAGTTTGGGGACAAGTTCCAGGCCGATGGCACCTACACCCTGATCATTCGTCTGAGGCACAACGTCATCAAGACAGGTAGGAGGCTGCAGGGATGGTGCTTGGGGACCCTTGGGCTGCCTGGCCTGGGGGGCTGCACTCCTGTCCCTCCTCGCAGGTGTCCGGATGATCAGCTTGTCCTACTCTCGCATCTCCCTGGCTGACATCGCCCAGAAGCTGCAGCTGGACAGTCCAGAGGATGCAGAGTTCATTGTTGCCAAGGTACCTGCATCAAGTCCTGTCCCTCTGCGTCCTGAGCTGCCCACAGCCCCCGCTTCTGGCAGCGGGCTCCCTCCCTGGGGCAGTCACTGGTTTTAGGTTGAGGCCCCTCCAAAGGGACGCTGGGGACACCCAGGGCACCACATCCCCTCTCTGTGCGCCGCGGCCTGAGCTCAGCGCTGCTGTCACAGCAGCCAGCTCCTCCCTTCCCCCTAAAGGTCAGCCCCGGGAGGCAGCGGGTGCCCTGACCTGCGCTCCGGCTTGCAGGCCATCCGGGACGGCGTGATCGAGGCCAGCATTAACCACGAGAAGGGCTACGTCCAGTCCAAGGAGATGATCGACATCTACTCCACGCGGGAGCCCCAGCTGGCTTTTCACCAGCGCATCTCTTTCTGCCTCGACATCCACAACATGTCCGTCAAGGTGCGAGGGGCTGCAGGGCCTGGCTGAGGGGACAGCGGCGGCACTCGAGGAGCTTCTCCTCTTGGAACCGTAGAAGAGTTTGGGTTGGAAGGGACCTTAAAGCTCTCCCAGCTCCAAGCCCTGCCACAGACAGGGACCCCTTCCACTGGAGCAGCTTGCTCCAAGCCCCTGTGTCCAACCTGGCCTTGAACACTGCCAGGGATGGGGCAGCCACAGCTTCTCTGGGCACCCTGTGCCAGCGCCTCAGCACCCTCACAGGGAAGAGCTTCTGCTTTATCTCCATCCTGATCTTCCCCTGGTTCAGTTTGAACCCATCACCCCTTGTCCCCAGTGAAGTTCCTTCTTTGTTTTCCAGGCCATGAGGTTCCCACCCAAATCCTACAACAAAGACTTGGAATCTGCAGAGGTGAGGTCTCTTTGGAAGGGGTTCCTTTACAACCTCCGAGGCTGCAGCACGGACGCAGCTCCTGGCCCCGGCCCCCCACCACCCTTTTCCTTTGGCCTTTGCCTTGCAGGAGCGCCGGGAGCGCGAGCAGCAGGACCTGGAGTTTGCAAAGGAGATGGCAGAGGACGATGATGACGGCTTCCCCTGAGCCTCTGGCCTGCCTCTACTTTTTTAGCTGTCCCTAGGGCAGATGCTGCCTGAGCGGCGCTTCCCCCGCACGGCCCCGGCCCCTTTCTTTTATAGATACCTGCATGTCTGTCCAGTGGGATGGGGACACTGGGGGGGGGAATCCCTGGCCATGCAGCCTCTTCCCACCCCCTGCTTCCCGCAGCGGGATCTCCCTTCCCCAATCACCCAGCATTCTTTTAAGGTCTCCTGTGGTCATGGGGGTTGCACAGAGGAGCCCCTGCCCTTGGGGCCTCCCTGGGCCGCAGAGCTGGGGCGGGTGCGGGGAGCGCGGCACCGCGGGTGCCCCCGGCTCTCACAGCGATGATGGGGTCAAACTTTGTTAAGCTTCAATTATGACTTTTAAAATAAAAGTGGGAAAAACACCATTTGCACAGAGGGCTGAACCCCCCTTCCAACCCCCCAAGTCCTGCTGGGAAGGGCATGCGGTGGGGTTGGGGTTAAGCTGGGTCCTTGTCCCTCACAGGCACCAGTGTTGGGGAGTGATGGGACCTGCAGCTGCGCCAAGTGGGTCACACCACCATGGGTGTTCGTTCTCCAGGGCCATCCATGAGTGTCCCAATGTGTCCATGCCTGGATGTGGGTTAAGCATGGGGCTGCCCAGGGTCCAGCCTGTCCCTGCTCTAAGGTCACCCGTGGGGCAGAGCAGGGAAGGTTGAGAGCTGGATCCAGCACTGGGAACACTAGGGGACACCCTGGAAGCGTTCACTTAGAGATGCTGGGCAGGGGCTGATGGTGCCTGGGTCAGGCCCCACACAGGAAGGGTGACCATGAGGCAGAACCGCAGTGGGGTGGATGCTGGGGACAGTCCCTGGGGCTGGACAGCTCCGGTCCCAGGGGGTTTTGTGCTGCCCTCGTGCCCCAGCACCCACCCACAGGGTTTCGGGTCTGGTCACCACTTCCTTCCTTCCTTCCTTCCCTGGAAAGCTGACGGGGACTTTGGGCTCCACCAAGCACTGATTCACGTCCCCCTCACCCCGATTCCTGAAAGTCTGACCCGCTGTCAGCTCCGCTCCGGGCTCACCCCCATGGGCACAATGCAACAAACCCCCTCCATGGGCACCGGCTCCAGGAGGGCCATGGTTTCCAGTGCCTCTGGGGAGGGCACGTGTAGAGTTGGGGGTGTCCTCCCTATAAACAGGCTCCACTCCCAGGGTCCTTTCACACAGCCTGAAGGCAGGACAGGTAGTGCCAGCTCTAAGAGGGGAAGTCACCATTAGGTTTCAGAGTGAACACCAGCCTCGTGCCAGGCCCTGGGTGATGCTCACAGATTGACTACAGCCACCAATGGGGGGGGTTCCTTTCCCCAGCTGGAGGTGGGAGCAGCTCCCATCCCAGTGGTCCCTGTCCCCCTCCCCATGGCCTGCAGGAGGGCAGTGATGGGACCCAGGCTGGGTGCAGAGCTCAGCGCTGCGCTGGTGTCACCCTGCCCGGATCCCTGCATCCCACACCCTGGCCCGTGCTGGGCAGGAGCCGTTCCAGCTGGCACCGACCCAGCAAATCATCCTGGAAGCACTTGCGGGAAGCAGCATGAGCCAAATCCCCCTGGTCAGCGCCGTGGGGACACAATGGGGTGGGAGCAGCCGGCCCCGTGCCGGGCTGCCCTGGCCAATGCTTCCCCGAAGGCGCTGATCGGGACGTCCCCAGCCGGGGGGGGGTCAGGCCCCTTGTGCTCATGTATGGGGATGCTGAGCACAGCCCAGCCCTGCAGCACCCAACGAGGCAGGATCCAGCCCTGCGGCCCTGGGCGAGTGCCTGGCTGGGATCTCACCTTGACCACCTCCAACTGCTCCCACCACCGGGAAAGCTCACACCGTTGTTGCCCGCCCCGATGCCGCGGTGAGGGGCTCGGGCAGGGGAAGTGCCCACATGGGTTGGGAACGGCGCTGATCCCAGGGGAATGCCGGCTGTGAAAAGCCACCGTCCCCTTGCCCGGTCACCTGGGAGTGACCCTGCAGTGCTGGGCCCTGGGCGGCGAGGCGAGAGCCGGGTTAATGTGTCACCGAGCCGCCGGCCCCGCACCGGGCACCCACCGCGGTGCCAGGGCTCCACCGGGCGCCGGCTGCCGCTGCGCTGAGGGGCACCCGCTGCCCACCGGGAAAGCCCCAGGCCAGGAGGGGTGGGCAGCGGCGAGCACCCGCGCCCGGATTTGCATGTTGGTGATTAAGGCAATGAAGCAACCGGAGCTGTTGCCACATCGGTGTGAATCCCCGCGGCCGCTATAAATGCCCTGATCAATGCCGGGGCAGGAGCTGCATCGGCCGGGCCACCCTCACGCGCAGGAGGAGACACCGAGCTGGGCACCATGTGCGCTGTCACCCGTGAGTACCGCAGCCCCACAGCCCCACTGCTCCCACTGCTCCCTGTGCTCCCACTGCTCCCACTGCTCCCACTCCTCCCACTGCTCCCTGTGCTCCCACTGCTCCCTGTGCTCCCACTGCTCCCTGTGCTCCCACTGCTCCCACTCCTCCCAGCGTTCCCTGTGCTCCCACTGCTCCCAGTGCTCCCACTGCTCCCAGCGCTCCCTGTGCTCCCACTGCTCCCTGTGCTCCCACTGCTCCCAGCGCTCCCAGTGCTCCCAGCACTCCCACTTCTAAAACTGCTCTCACTGCTCCCAGTGCTAAAACTCCTCCCAGTGCTCCCACTGCTAAAACTGCTTCCGCTGCTCCCCGTGTTCCCATTGCTCCCACTGCTAAAACTGCACCCACTGCTCCCACTGCTAAAAACTGCTCCCACTGCTCCCATTGCTCCCACTGCACCCACTGCTCCCAGTGTTCCCACTGCACCCACTGGTCCCATTGCTCCCACTGCTCCCACTGCTTCCACTGAGCCCATTGCACTCACTCCTAAACCTGCTCCCACTGCACCCGCTGCTTCCATTACTCCCATTCCTCCTCCCAGTGCTCCCTGTGCTCCCACTGTTCCAACTGCTCCCACTGCACCCATCATTCCCAATGCACCCGTCGCTCCCACTGCTCCCATCGCTCCCACCGCACCCACTTTTCCCACAGCTCCCAGAGCCCCCACTAACCCCACTCTACCTGTAGCACCCGCCGCACCCACACACCCAAAGCCTGCAGCCGACTGCCCCAGCGCCATGGCACCGGTGCCACACGGGCAGCGCCTGCTCCATCTCCCCCATTCCACGGGGTCCCTTCCCCAGGCTGTGCCGGTGCCTCCATCCCCGGTGGCAGCGGTGGGGCCGTGGCACGGTGGGTGCTGAGCCGCTGCTCCCGCAGGCGTGCTGGCACTGCTGCTGTGGGCGCCGTGGCCGGCGCTGCTCGGGGCGCCGCTGGCCGAGCTCTCGGGGGACCAGAGATTCCTCATCTTCCTCAGCAACAACCTGGAATTCACCCGCAAGATCAAGGGGGACGTGGCCGCGCTGCAGCACGCGGTGGTGAGTCCCGGGTGGCAGCGGTGCCCGTCCCCCTCCCATCCTTATTGACCCCTTGCACCTCGCTGCTGTGGGGCTGTGGCTGTGCACGGGGCTGCTGCTCCCTTGGGGACCGCCCCAGGGCACAAAGCAGAGGGGCAGCCCCATCTCCACCACACTGGGCACCAGGTCTCCCCCATCCCACACCCCAGGGATGGGAGCTGGGGGTGACGGGGTCCTCCAGCCCCCCTGACCACGTTCCCCCCTTTGGCCGCAGTGCGACACCTTCCAGCTGTGCAAGGAGGAAGAACTGCTGCTGCTGCGGCAGGACCTGAGCATGGCGCAGGTGCCCATGGAGCGGTGCCACGGCCGCGGCTTCCAGGCGGTGAGTGCCAGGGCCCACCTGTGCCACGAGCTGGCCGGGCTCAGTACCACCGGTGCTGCGGTGGCCGTGCCGAGCTGACCACGCCATGCACCCCGCAGGAAGCCTGCTTCAGCCAGATCCGAGAGGGGCTCCGCACCTACCAAAGCTCCCTCGATGCTGTCCTGGAGCTGCTGCCCGGGCACGCTGCGCTGGTGGAGAGCGTGCAGCTGGATGCTGCCAACCTGTCCTCCAACATCCAGCATCAGGTGAGGGGAGCTGGGGGGCAGGATGGGCACAGCGAGGACACCGCATCCTGGGCTGCACCCCCAGAGCGTGAGCAGCAGCTCAGGGAGGGGATCCTGGCCCTCTGCTGCTCTCTGGGGTGACCCCCCCCCGCAGTCCTGATCCAGCTCTGGGGCAGAAGCACAAGAGGGACGTGGAGCTGTTGGAGCGAGGCCAGAGGAGGCCATGGGGATGCTGCGAGGGCTGGAGCAGCTCTGCTCTGGAGCCAGGCTGAGAGAGCTGGGCTGGGGCAGCCTGGACAAGAGAAGGCTCCTGAAGGGGAGACCTGAGAACAGCTCCAGTGCCTGAAGGGGCTGCAGGAAAGCTGGAGAGGGGCTTGGGACAAGGGATGTAGGGACAGGACGAGGGGAATGGCTTTAACCTGCCAGAGGGGAGACTGAGATGAGCTCTTAGGCAGAAGCTCTTCCCTGTGAGGGTGCTGAGGCGCTGGCACAGGGTGCCCAGAGAAGCTGTGGCTGCCCCATCCCTGGCAGTGCTCAAGGCCAGGTTGGACACAGGGGCTTGGAGCAAGCTGCTCCAGTGGAAGGGGTCCCTGCCCGTGGCAGGGGTTGGAGCTGGATGAGCTTTAAGGTCCCTTCCAACCCAACCCACTCTGTGCCTTCACGGGGCTCTGCTGCCGCGCTCCCAGGGCCCGGAGCTGATCCTCTGCCTCTGCCCAGTTACAGATGGAAGACCTGGGCCTGGCCACGGTGACGTACCCCACGGAGGCCCGAGGTCCCCTGCCCGCCTTCTCCTCCCATTTCCACCACCAGGTCGGCAGCTTCTTCATCCTGGCCGACTTCCAGCGGTTCCTGGAGGCCACGTACCGGGCGCTGCGGCACCTCGCGCACCTCTGACCCCGGCCCCACACCGCCTCTCCCCATTTATTTATGTCCCAGCCCTGGCGCCCTGCCCGGGAGCTCCCGGCTTTCCCACCTATTTAATATTTATGGCTATTTAAGCTCTCTCCGGACGGGAATGCTGCCCGGCACCGGCCCCACCGCACACGGACCCGTGCGCAGCATCGCCCTTGTTTAATATTTAAACAAAAGTGTATCTCTGCTACGAGTTGCTGGGCTGAGCCCCCAAGGGCTCAGCGCGCTGCATCCCACAGGAAAACCGCCTTCATCCATGGATGAAGCAGCTTTGGAGCAGCATTTCCCTGCCTGGGCTGCAGGGACAGACCTGACCGGTGTCACTTCTCGTTGGCATAGTGACACTGATATTTAGTAGTCATTAGGGAAGAGGGAGGGGAGAAGGGAGGTGCAGTGGGGATGCAGCAGCTTCCCACGAGGAGGTTTTTCCACCGCCCATCCCCATTCCCTGCTAAACTCAGTGTATTTATTGCAGTTTAAGTTATTCTCATCCATTTCCCGGGCTCCCGGTTCCCGGAGCTGTACTGGATGGTTCCCAGCCCATCCCGGTGTGTTTTGTACCGTATTTATTGCTGCCTGAGCCCCACAGACACATCCCTGCTCGGTTTTATACGCAATATAAATGGAAATAAACTATTTTTGCTCCAGAGCCCGGCTCTCTGCCTGTGCTGCCTGCGGTGGGGTGGGGTGGGGGTGATGATGTGCGGCCGGGCGCGGGGATACGGGGACAGAGACACTGGGCACAAGGGGACAGCATCCTTCGGGACCGGTCTGTGGCTGCTGCCATTGCCCGGCCCCGGCGCTTCCAAGGCGGGGTGGACCGGGTCCCCGGGTGGGGGGACCGGATGCGGCTGCCGCGGGGGTGGCGGCTTCCTCTGGCACCAGCACTTGGGCAAGAGCCGGTTCCTAGAAAGCATCGGAGCTGAGCGGCGGCAGCACCGAGCGGGGGCACCGGCACCGGCACCGGCAGCGCCCCGGGAGCCGCCGGCAGCGCGGAGCATCCCTGCGCTGCGCCGGGAGGGTGCAGGAGCGCTCAGGGCTCAGTGCCCTGCGCTTGGTGGCAGCGGGGATGCTGAGGTCCCACTTTTGCTGCTGCCACAAAGGGAATCTGTCCCAGAGCTGCGCAGGGATGTGCCTGGAGCCCTCCTGGAGTTGCCACAACGGGATGGGACTTCCAGAACCGAGAAACGCGAAGAGGATGAAGAGCAAAGCCAAGCCAAGCCAAGGAAACCTGGGCATCCCCCCTGGGCTGTCCCTGTGCTCTCAGCCTTGCACCAACCCCGTTTCCTCCCACCAGTCCCATGCGCACGTCCCATGACCGCTGGCATCCCCGCACCACACTCAGCCTGGCCCCGGTGGGTGCCTGCGGGTGCCTGTTCCTGCCCTCCCTCAGTTTTCCCAGCCCTTGGAAGGGCCAAGCACGGAGCCCCCGTTGCCACCACCCTGCTCTGGTGCACACGCTGGGAGAGCAACCAGTGAGAGCCACGGCTCCTTCCTGCCCCGGCTTATCAGTGCTTACAGGAACCCCCTTCTCCCGCTCCAGCCCCTTCCTGGAAGGTGAAGAGCAGGAGCCAGCGCCAAGCATGGGGCTGCTGCCGGCAAATATTGACAGAGCTGGGAAGGCCGAGGGCCAGGTCCTGCTCTTTGCTCCGAGCTAACGGTAAAGACCAGCCCCAGGCAGAGGTGCCAGCTCCAGGCAGGACTCAACCCAAGTCCGGCCCCGCACAGCTCCTCCACTGCCTGCAGCAGGGTCTGTCCCTGCAGCAAAGCCCGGGAGCAGCCAGGACCTGAGCTCATCTCGGGGTCAGGCAGGTCCTCACTCACCATCCAGCTGCCTGTTCCCTGCAGCATTGACCCAAAGCCCCCGGCACCGCATCAGACCCTCCCTGTGCTGCCTCTTCCCTGACATCACCAAAGCACCCGCTTTGGAGCCCCCAAAACACAGAGCGAACCCTGCTAATGCCAAGGGGGGTTGGAGGGAAGAGCCCAGCCCTGGGGATGGTGCATGGAGCGGGCTCAAGCCAAGGCACCCTGAGGGGAAGGCTGGTGCCCGGCTCCCCAAGCACCACTTCCCCCTTTGGCATGAGTCAAAGAGAGCACACACATGGCAGGAGCAGAGATGAAGCCGTCCCGGCCCTGCCACCCCCTCAGGGTCAGGGATTCGGGACAGTTCGATGTGGATTCACCACCAAAGCAGCTGACCCGTGCTGGGACAGCCCCGCTGAGGAGCCTCTCCCTGCACGGCGCTGGTGAGGCCGCGGTTACTCACCGGGTGCTGGGGACGTGCGGTGAACTCACGCTCACGTGGAGGAACTTCCAAGGGGAACTTGCAGCTTCCAGTGGGCTGGGAAGCAGGGGAGCATCTCTGCTCCACTGAGCCCAGCATCACCCGCAGCCCCCCCACACGCTGCTCTGGGCAATGGCAGAGCAAGTGCCATTGCCATCCCCTGCTCAGTCCAGGTCCTGGTGACTTCCTCTCCATCATCCCCACCACCAAGCTCAGGGGTTTGGGCAATGCCCAGCACCAGCTTTCTGTCCTGGCTCCTCGGCTGTGGGAGCAGGGGCCGGGTGCTCGTGCTCTGTGAGCTGAGAGCAGCGTGCAGATGGGGTTTTAGGTGGCCAAGGCCACTGTCACCCCCCTGCAGAGGTGATGATCTTGGGACACGGTGGCTGCTATAGTGGGAAATCATTATACTGCTATACTGGAGCTAGCAAATTGGGCCTGAGCAGCAAATCTCTTTGGGGACATGGCCCATCCTCCCTGAGATGCATGGCAGCCCCATAGCCGATGTGATCATCCTAAAGCATGAAACCTCCCCCTGAACTCAGCCTTACAGCAAGGACCCGATGCCAGCACACAGGAAAGGTGCCTGCTCCCAGCGCGGTGGATGTGGCCTCAGCTGGGTGCTACTGCTGCAGGGCTGGGACACCTCAAGGCAGGAGCCTCCCTGTCGCTGGTCCCCACAGCAAGGTTACAGGTGGAAATTCAACCCCGGGCTGGCCAGAGCGGGATTGAGCAGAGGGATGAGGGGAAGCAGCAGCACCCGGGGCCAGGGGTGCTTTGCCAGCTGCCAACACACACAAGGGGCCTGTGCACACCAGCAGCTTGTCCTGTCCCCGTCAGTGCTGCAGTCAAACTGCAGCAAATCTCCTCCTCTGTTTTCCCTGAGGACAACAACCCGGGTCTGGCTCCATGGGGAGAGGCCAGAGGGAGGAAAGCCATGGAAAACCCTGGGTGGGAGATGCTCTTTGCATCCAGCGGCACATCCGCAGTACCTACATCCGCCAGGTCCACCACTGGTGGGCACTGTCACCCACACCAGCGTGGACCTGGCTGGAAACCAGGATGAGCTCTGCAGGGCTGGCTCTGCCTAGGGCGTGATGTGGGACATGTCTGGGGTCTCCTGCACCCGGGGACCTTGTCCTCTTCCTTCCCCAAACCTCAGGGATCCAAGCCACCGTATTTGTTGTTCTATGGCACAGAGGCATCTTCCTCGCATCCCCAAAACGAGTGCTGCTCTCCCAGCAGGGCCAACCACACAGCTTTGACCTACCCAGAGGCACCAGCCAGCCTGGAAACCCCAGTGAGTACCACTTGCTCCTGGACCAGATTAATGTCTTTAACAAGCACAAGAGAGCGGTGAAGAGGGTGGAAAATACCCTGGAGCAGCATCCAACCATTTATTTCAACAAGGCCAGGAAAAGGAGAGAACCTGAAGGGGAAAAAGGTTTAAAACCATCCCTGGGCTGAGCAGTGAATTCTGAATGCAGCCCGACAGAGAAATGTGGCTTTGAGGGATGAAGCTGGGCATGGAGACGCCTGCAGATGGCGAGGACACAGACACAGAGCAGCCACCTGACACGATGGGGAGCTGTCAGCCTGTGGAGCAGAGATGTCTGCGGGACACGGAGCAGCTGAGCTGGTGCAGGCTTTCCATGGACAAAACCTGAACCCTCCTGGAGCCTCTGCGAATGGCATCTGCTGGCAAGGAAGATTCCCACCTATCCCCAAGTGAAACATCAGGAAGGAGCCAGCAATCACTCAGCAGCAGGGGAACAAGCAGCGGTGCAGGGCGAGCTGCTCCACGAGCTGGGCTGGGATGAGAAGCCCCAGCTCTTCTCCAGCAGCACATTAAGCAGCAGAGCAGGGAGAGGAGCAGCCACGGAGCTGCTGAGCTCTGGCAGGACAGCACAAGTGATTACAGCAAAGCGGTGCTGACAGCACCATTGATCCTGGTGACAAATGCACCACGGGTTATGTTTTAAACTCCTTGCAGAGGAGCACGGGTGAGACCTGGCTGGGCAGAGCCCAAAGCAGGCAGGATGGCAGCACTGAGGTACTGGGGTGAGGCAAACGATCCACCGTGGAGCTGCAATAAACACAAGAGGGACGTGGAGCTCCTTGAGTGAGTCCAGAGGAGGCCACGGAGATGCTGCGAGGGCTGGAGCAGCTCTGCTCTGGAGCCAGGCTGAGAGCTGGGCTGGGGCAGCCTGGACAAGAGAAGGCTCCTGAAGGGGAGACCTGAGAGCAGCTCCAGTGCCTGAAGGGGCTGCAGGAAAGCTGGAGAGGGGCTTGGGACAAGGGATGTAGGGACAGGCCAAGGGGAATGGCTTTAACCTGCCAGAGGGGAGACTGAGATGAGCTCTTAGGCAGAAGCTCTTCCCTGTGAGGGTGCTGAGGTGCTGGCACAGGGTGCCCAGAGGAGCTGTGGCTGCCCCATCCCTGGCAGTGTTCAAGGCCAGGTTGGACACCGGGGCTTGGAGCAAGCTGCTCTAGTGGAAGGGGTCCCTGCCCGTGGCAGGGGTTGGAGCTGGAGGAGCTTTAAGGTCCCTTCCAACTCAAACCAGGCTGGCATTCTATGATTTCTTACTTTTAACACCACAAACTGATGGCACGAGGCAGGTTTGTGAGCACATCTGAAGGCAGACGCTGGAATCACCCCTTCCGAAGGGGACGGACACGTTTTCCCAGGTCACCTCCACATCGGGATGCTGCAGGTGTCAGATGAGACAAACAAAATCCTCCCAGACCCTGAGTGTTCACCCGGTGTCACTTTGCTTCATAAATCAGAGCTGCCAACTCCCAGCTCGCTGCTAATGAGTTCAGCCCAACCAGCACCACTTCACCCCACGCCAGGCTCGCTGGATAAAGGCACTGAGAAAAAATCCTCCTTGATTTATGAGCAAAGCCATCGTGACCTGGAAGAAATCAGGGTGGAATAAGGCAGGATGAGGTTTTGCATTCCCAGGGGCTGCGGTGTGGGGAAGAGCCCTGCTCCAGCTGGGAGATGAAAACCAACCCAGCAGAGGGCTCGCCAGCATGCTGGAAAACCTGAAGGACCAACTTGCTGCGCCTTGGGAAGCAGTCATTATAGGCATTTTCTATTTTAAAGACCATTTAGGAAAGCAAACATCACCTTCTCTAGGCTCCAGTGTAGCTGCAGCCCCTTGGACTCTCCTCAAATTAACAGAAATGTCCCACTGGTGTCCTGGGATGATCCAACACCATCCAAAATCCCAACTACTGTGGCTGATGAGACCCACGAAGATGCGAGGCCTGAAGCTGGTTTCCCCCCTAAAAGGGTTAACTGCCAGCCCAGCTCCTGTCCCACAGCCTTCCTCCCCTATCTCCTTTCCAGCCTGCGCTGC